CCCCAAAACCCCAAAACCCCAAAACCCCAAAACCCCAAAACCCCAAAACCCCTACGAAAAGCAATTTTATTGAGAAAAGTTAAAAATGAAGATTCAATTCATTTAGCTCTTTTTCTCATTCTCTAATTCGTCTATCCTTTCATAAAGCTTTTCAATTCCTTTCCTGATAGTGTCTATCTTAGTATCACATGCCGAGAGTTTATGATTGATTCTATCCTCTGTAGGCTTCATTTTATCATCTAAAACCATTGTAGCAATAGTTTCAACCTCATCTTGAAGTTTCTTGAGATGACTTATATGCTTCTCAGAGGATTCTTCAATAAATGTTTTCAATTGGTTAAGTTTACCTTCCCAACTAACATTTCCTCCTCCTTCTGCCTTCTCAGGCTCAATTACAACAATATATTTAGCCTTTCTAAAAGCTCTAGATCTTGAGAATAAGAACTCATTCTCTCTAATCATGTTTGACAGTTCTTGAAGCATTGAGTTTTCTTGTGTTTCCTGGACTCTATCAAATGTGTCTCCCATAATAGCAATGACCAAATTCAATAGGACAATAAGAATAATAAGAGTATCCAATAAGAAGAAGATCCAGAGGAATTCTTCATCTCTTGTCCCAAAGTCATCTGTTATAAAGTCACCAAGCCCCATCTTGTATGAGAATATAAAGGCATCAATGAAGTTATCTCCTGCTAGGTTATCCTCTTCAGAGTTTCTACCTAAGATATAGAAAGCATTAGCGAAAGCGATAGTAGCTATCATGAGAACACCAACGAAAAACTTCATGTCTATCATAATTTCGATGATCATTCTCACTAAATAAGCTGTAGCAAAGAAGATTCTGAGGAAATAAAACAGTTTAAAGTAAAGCACAAGGACTGATATTGCTGCTACTCTGTTTGTATCTTCGAAACTAGCGTCTGCAAAGTCCATTATTACAACTGTAGTATTCATTATGACAGAGAAGAGATCAAGCATGTTCCAGAACGAAGTTATGTAGTCTAGTCCATGGAACAAGATTTGTCTGATTTCAACATATGCCCAAAAGATATTAAACAGAAGAATGATCGCTCCAAATGCATAACTTGTTAAGTGGTAAGATCCTGAATCGTCAGATTCTAGATGCTGCTTTTCAAGTAACCAAGTAGTGTAGAGACAGAAGAGGACAAAGTAGATGATGTAAGGTATAAAAAGCTTCAGTATAATCACTTCCTTGAAATACTTCCATTGGAAAAGAATAATATCTCTGATGATGTCTTGCCCGAACAAGTTAATATTTTGAGATCCACTGAGATCTTTTAGGAACTGGTGGCAATTATCTCCTTGGAAAATCCAATCGAATTCAATTCCTTTAATAGAAACTCTTTTTAAAGTGTTTTCTTCTTCATCAAAAACATTAACCTTATCATCATTGTCATCATCTCCAAGCATATCATTGCTCTGAGAAATATCTCCTTGGATGTAGCTTGAGGGTTTATCATAGGAGGGAGCAACCTGGTTCTTCTTAATTTCTTTATCTTCATTCTCTTTGCCCATAATCTTACCATCCTTGTCAGGGACATTATATTTCTTGTAAAATTCTTTATCGAGAATAGAACAAGGATAGTGATCTCTGATTGTCTCATCATCTCCTTTTAACTCTAATTTATTAATCGATTTCATCTGCTCAGTTACAAAGTAGCATGAGTTAAGATACTTTTCAAAAGATCTTAAGTTCATTTTAAACAGATTCGTGAAATTTATGAAGATTTTCCTGGATAAAGAAAAGTGGCCAAGCTTTAACAGACAGTTCAACATTAATTCTATAATTCTTGCAGAATTATTTTCAATAGCTAGTTGGAGTGGAGATTTTCCTTCGTTATTCTCAAGAACAAGCATTATATAGTAAAGAGGATTATTCTCAAAAATATTCAGCACATTTTTCAGGTTATCATAATTGTCAATGTAATCAAATGCTACTGATTTCTTGTTCATATAGTACATCACTTTTTGAACATCTAGATTATCAAGAGACTTGTTTTTATAATAATAAATATCTTTGTAGCATAGGGGAGTAATCATCATTCCGTTTCCAAGCATTACATCTTCGCTAGAGTTAATTCTCATTCCTTGTCCCCATAATCTGTCCTCTGTTATCTTATTTTTAGACATGAAAGGTATTGGAACACCTAAATCAAGATCCACAATGTATTGATCAAATCAGAGGAATCCGAGGATCGAATTCTTTCCAGAAATGTAATCCAAAAACTGATCGTCTTTTCTTCCTAAGAAGTTGGTATGCTCAATATTTCTCTCAATGTCCCAAACGATTACAGTCTTTGCTCCTCCTAGATCATACAATATAATTAAGTATCTTGGGTTTTTAGAAACAATCAGGTTATCTAAATCTCATTGGTCAGGGATATCAAGAGCTTTATGTTTTAGAAGTTTCGCTGATTTGATGCCTCGCTCATCAAATTTAAGAGCTAAAATATCTTCTTCCTGCTTTATAATAGCAGTTCATGCACCAAATTTGTAAATATCAAAATCGTCTGTGGTTAGGCCTTTATCGTTAAGTCTTCTTTGAAAGTCATCCCAATGATTGATGCCATTTATTTGGAAGATTTTCTCTTCAACATGAAGATAGACCACATTTCCTTTGTTGTCAATAAATAATGGCTGCTCGAGAGTCCACATGTCGTCTTTTATTAAATTATCTATGGATTATTTAACAGAATATACCTCTGTTGTGGTTAAACACTCTATATCTATTGATAGGTTCGACATTGATGATGGCTTTACTTTTGAGGCTCTCCTGGCGCCTAAGCTCTTCTGATAGCATGCTCTTTTTATAATCATCAGTTTTGTTGATCCTAAAAGTCACTAGTTCTTTCTTTTGCTCTTCAGTTTGTTCATCAATTGTCTAAATTTTACTGATTTGAATTACCTCTATTGGTATAACAAAATATTCTCCGCTCTGAGAGAAATAAGGGCGATAAGTTTTCTTGAATTGAGGCAACTTGATTGTTTGGATGACTTCACCATTGAGCAAATACACTTTAAGGATTATGGTTACATCATAACTCTCCATTTCATGATATGTTTCGTACTTTGAAGCATAATCTAAAAATTAGTCAGATGGTTGAAGTCAAGATGAGAATCGTGGTTATATCAAATAGATAAGTGACAAAAGGCGTTGAACGTTGTTTAAATAGAGATTTAGGGACAATAAGCTTGATTCAAAGATCGATAAACCAAAATCAATTTCTTAGAGGAATGAAACAAGACAAAGAAAATATAGGTGAAAATAGAAAATCATTATCAAGGATCTTACTGGAGCTAATAATGTATTTATCATCAAAGTGACAGAAGAATTCAGTATTGGTATCTGTATTATCCTCTCTTTGCTTAATCCTGTATGAATTCATTGGAGGAGCTATGGATCAGTTATATTTATTTACCGAGCATGAGATACTGCTTTTGATAAGTATAAGTGGAATCATATTCTGAATTTAAAGCAAATAAAATAAAATCTTCAGAGCACAGAGGAAATTTGGTGTTCCCATATTCGAGTGAATATCCTGAATAATATAGGGAATAAAATCTCCCTTCCTTTTCTTTTCCTCTTTCTTGGAGTATATTTACTCCATTACTACTGTACATCATCTCATTACAGAATCCATAGCCTTTAATTGAGTTAACATCGCTGCTACTGGAGAAATATGTATCAACAAAATATTCCTTGTATATACTGACTTTACTGAATTTTTGGGATCCTGACTCTTCAACTTTAAGAATCTTGACATATTTTGGTTCATCTACAATTGCTAGATATTCAACTCCGTTAATCATAGTTTGCTTGCAATATCGAATGTCTTCATCAGCTTCATAAACTTTAATGATACTTTTAGCACTTGTGGGGTCATATGGGATTCTCATCAGTTCTAGTTTATCTCCTTTATCGTCCCAGAAAATAATTACATTAGTCTTTTGCATAAATATAACATTCGTCTTTTTGACCTTCTTGTTGATTTCATATTTAATGCCTTTGCTCTCCAACGAAAGTATAGCCAAGGAGTCCTTTTGGTGTAGCATCACTGCATTCTCAATACTCTTTGTTTCTGGGTTTTGTAAGGTTATCCTGTAAAATCCCTTGATCTTTTCTGGAACTATTTCAGATTTATTAATCTGTCTCTTATCGTATTCAAGCAAATTCGTATCAGTGTTACATCGCATAATAGTTGTTTGAACATAGGAATGTTTATCTAGAACTATTCCAAGATCAATAGTTGATGATTGCTTAGCTATTACTTTGCTAATGTTTTCCATTGCTAGGATAGAATCATCAAAGTAGTAAATTGATACTTTATTGTTTAGGTCTTGTACCCATAGTTCTCTTGTCCCCCATACATACAATATAAGAGGATACTGAAATGTAATGTTCCTAATTGCTTTGATACCATAACTATTAGCTTTCTCTTCAGTGAAAGTATTTATTATCATTTTGCCGCAATCTTGTTCAAAGAGAATCAAAGCCTGCTCATCTCCTTCCATAAACTTGAAGCCGTATGAATACACATAGGTTTTATGAAATACCTGCTTCCATACTAATTTACCGTCTTTGTAGACTGCACACCACATATTTTTCCAGTTAGGCATATATAAGACCCCAATGTAATCTTTGCTAAAAGTTATAGCATTCATGGAGTAATATTCTTTAATGATCTCTTTTCATTCATTGCCCTTGTTTTTCAAGTCAACGTAGTAAATCTATATGGAATCAGTTAATTTTAGTCAATTTTGTGCATAGTTATTGGCTTATTCTTTACCTTGGGGTATTTGTCATATCAGAATCCTGTTTTATCCTGGTTGAGATAAATCATTGAGATATAGGATTCAAAGTTATAAATAACCTCTTCCTTATCGGTAAGAATATCAATTGCGACTAAATTTGTCTTTGTGTAGGTATCATCAGCATTCTTACATCCTAAGAACTGAGTCTTGCTATATTGCCAAATAGAATACATATTCCTTCCATCTACTTTCCTTACAAAATTTAGGTTTTGATCAAAGATATATCGAGAGTAGCTATCTCCTCCTATAAGATAGGAACCGTCAAACGACAATTTTGAATCATAAAAATAAGTGACTTCTCCCCCATCATCTGTTTTTGCTGTGAGTTCCTTTTTAGAAACCAACTCTAATGTCTCAGCATTGTAGATCATATGGGTCCGGTTATCGCTAAGCCACAGAAGCAAGAATTTTCCATTGTCAGAAACTGAAATTTGGTTGGAAACCTGTTCAAAAAGGAAGATTTCTTTAATTTTTCTGTATCCATAGATTTCAATTTCCCATAAAGTTAGAACTTTTGTACCTAGAGAGAGTTAGAAATCATGAAAATAACACTTAATTTTAGAGAACTCTAACTTTTCTTAAGTAAATTTCACTAAAAGTTCGCCCACAGATGATTCTGATTTAATCTCATATCAAATTAGAATTTTCAGAAGAAAATATTCAAAATCTGGAAATAAAATTTAACTTTGAGTGAACATTTAAATAAGGAAAAGATTATACTTGGACAGATAATGTTCTATTAGAATTTTGCTGGACAGAAATAGAACCATTTATCAACAGAACAACTCGAAATATCGGATCTTTAAAAGATCGTAAACCAAGGGATTGGATAAATTGACATTACAGTTGACTAAATTCTGATTGAAAGTTTCGTCAACCTCAACTTTTTCAAATTTCAAAGTTTCGTTTTCTTTTGATAAAGCATTGTCTTTAGCCTTATTTTCATCAATAAGTTTACTAGATTTTGCTTTCCCCATAGCAAGATCTTGGAGGTTTAGGTCAGACTCTTTCCTTTCTTCTTTAGGAGCCTCATTTTTCTTCTGATCTCTTTCTTTAGCTCTTCTATCATTCAAAATCATGATGGCTCTTTCGGTTGGATCATTTGAGTTAGTCTTTTTCTTTTCTTCTTCAGTATTTTCAACAGGAGAATCTTGGTTGTCCTCTGCTGCTTTATCGTCCTCCTCTTCATCTTTTCTTTCATCTCTCAGCTTCTGTTGCTCTTGTTGCTCCTTAAGCTTCTTCTCTGCCTTAGCGATTGCGTCTTCTCCTTTAAGTTTCTCGACCATTGGGGCAAGCTCCATTTTGGTCTGGGGACTGGTGTAAAGAGTGAATTCAGTGCCATCATGCACGCTGGCCGTTGCCAATGTGTAAGCATAGTTGTTAAAAGCTGGGTTTAGCTTACAAACATCGTATTTGAGCATCGGGAATGGTATCTTCTTAGTGAAGGATTCTTTATACTGCTGATCATAATCCGGCTCTTTCTGTTCTTCCATTTTAATTTTATTCAAATCAAATTTTATTTTCATATATGGGGTTTTGGGGTTTTGGGGTTTTGGGGTTTTGGGG